TCACCAAGTTTTACTCAGCGTAGAGCCATAGGGGTCTCCTAACAACTCTCAGCATCCTTAACAAATAAATCATTTGGTGACGATGGAGCCTTGGTCTCTTGCAGCAAAAACTCGAAAGTGTCTAGTGGGACTTTAAAACAGGTGTGGAGGATCTTTCTTCAGCCAAGGCTCACATTCCCTTCTGAGCAACCATTGGTAGATGCCGTTGGTGGAAAAGGCTGGAGGAAGAACCGTTTACAGAAAGAAGAAAACAATGAAATGCTTGGGTGTTTTGTTTTTTTTACAAAGTTGAAACCAACTATTTAAAACAATGAAAATTAAAATCAGCGGTAAGCTGAAAACCGAATTCAAACAGACACCAATGCCCTATGAGTCTGTATAGGCTTTCTCAAAAGAAAACGTTTTTAGCAGTCGCCGAAAAGAATACAGTGAAGGCGCCTGCTTGATATCAAGAGGCAGGGAGTTCCAAAGTGCAAATGCTGCCACTCTAATAGAGAGAAGTTCTACATATGAGTATTATGTGGCACCTGCAAGGGTGCCAGTTCCTTCTGATTAGGATGCATTGTGGATACACTAACCCTGCCCATGATATGATTTCCTCTCTTAGCTCATGGAAGACATGGGTAATGCTGCGAAGAATCCAGGAGAGCAGCAGTATCTGCTCTTCATGCTAGGCCTTGCCATCAGTTTGTTCCCTATTGGAGGCCTTACTGGAGCACTCATCGCAGGAGTCATGGTGGATGAATATGGAAGGTATATATAGATGACCTGGTGATTAGTGAACTTCCAGTCCTAACTTTGGACGTGGGGCAGGTGGGCAGGGGAGTGGGGCTTCTGCTGAGCCCTGTCTCCCCAGCCGAGGCTCGATTTAACTTCTGGCTGAGGAGGTTCACCCTGTAAAAAGGCATCCCACATTTTAACAAAGGCTATTCAGCCAGCCGAAGTAATGCTATCGTTTGGGTGGCATTCGACAAAGCAGACCCATTCAAATGAATGAGCCAGCCCAGTGGCGTAGCGTGGGTTGTCAGCACCCGGGGCAAGGGAAGTAATTTGCGCCCCCTAACCCGTGGATTTGCGCCCCCTAACCCCCAGATGTTGCGCCCGGTGCGGCCGGCCCCCCCTGCACCCCCCACGCTACGCCACTGCTCAGCCTGCAGAGGCCTCTTCCCAGGCGTGCTTGAAAGGGGCAGGCAGGCACTGCCCCCCACCTCCCCCCAGACAAATAGGACGTTGATTAGTTTTTCAATGGACCTGTTTAAAAGATTTTGTAAATTGTTCTTCTTCCTGAAGGAGCATCTCCACCCCCATTGTTCTGCCTGGACACTGAGGTCCAGCTCCGAGGGCCTTCTGGCGGTCCCCTCATGAGAAGCCAAGTTGCAGGGAACCAGGCAGAGGGCCTTCTTGGTGGTGGCACCCGCCCTGTGGAACGCCCTCCCACCAGATGTCAAAGAGAAGAACAACTACCAGACTTTTAGAAGACATCGGAAGGCAGCCCTGTTTAGGGAAGCTTTTAATGTTTAATAGGTTATTGTACTTTAACATTCTGTTGGAAGCCACCCAGAGTGGCTGGGGAAACCCAGCCAGATAGGCAGGGCTTAAATAAATTATTATTATTATTATTATTATTATTATTATTATTATTATTATTTGTTTTCATTACTTTGCTCCCCACTCTTGGGAGTGGGGAGAATTCAGCTGTAGAGAAGGCTATAGATTCTGCGAATAAGTCAATAATATTTCCCCTCTTTGGCCAGCTGCTGGTCCCTCCATGTGCACCTCTCCATTTGTCAACTCCGAGGAGCCCAGGCTCTGCCTGTCCCTAAGCAGGGGCAGAGGAAGGGGCGGTGGGGGCGGTCCACACCAGGTGTCATCACTGAGGGGGATGACATTCGGCGCACCGTGACTCCCAGGCCTACCCCGAGCCGTCAGGGGAAGGGGTGGAGATGCGCCGCCTTGCCAGCGGCCTTCCCCACCTTCCCCCTTTGTTTTGACAGCTGGGGGAGGCTTTGGAGTTGTGGGCCGGCGTCGCGCCATTGCCCCTCGCTTCCGGGCTGCTTGGGGGGGGAGCCTCCCCATAGCTGTTAAAAGGAAGAGGGAAAGGAAGAAGGGCGCTGGCAAAGCGGCATGGCTCCCCACCCCCCAGGAAGCAGCCCAGCATGGACAGCTCGCTCCACCCCCCCCCATGGGCATCTCTCCCCCTGGGACACTCACCCCATGGCATGTGCACCGCTCCGGGCGCTGGAGCAGCTAGATCTGCCTCTGTCCCTAAGGCCAGCCTCTCAGTCCCCCCCCGCCAATCATAGAGTTAGAAGGGACCCTGGGGGTCATCGAGTCCAACCCCCCCCCCCCTGCAATGCAGGGATAAATATGCAGCCGTCCCAAACGAGGATCAGAGACGCAACCTTGGCGTTCTCATCGCCGCGCTCCAACCAACCGAGGTATCCACACTTCTCCCAAATGCCCCCTTCCCCGAGAGCTGCCCGAGGATTTGCTGTCGATTCCCCGCGTGAAAATGCTTGCCCATTAAAAGGAAGGGAGGCTCCCTCCGCCCCTGCCACGGGGAGCTCAGCCTGCACTTGGGCAGGCCCTTTGCGTCACGTGCGCTTGGCACGCTGCTCTTTCCAGCTTCCTCCCGGCCGGGCCAGCGGCTCCACCTCTTTTCCTTTGCCTCTTTGAGCCGCTTAATTCCCAGCAAGGAATTAGCAGGCTCGCTCCACCTCCTCCTCCTCCCGACTTTGCTGCTGCTGCTGCGCGGCTTTTTTCCTCTACCGACGGCACGCTGTGCCTTGGAGAGGTTCCCACTTCCTCGAGGGGGGCCGGCCAAACGCGCCCCCAAAAATGTTGCGCCCGGTGCGGCCCGCACCCCTGGCACCCCCCACGCTACGCCACTGAGCCAGCCTGAGCGAGCCCCCCCTGATTTCATTGGGTCATCTCTGAGCAAAACTCAGCCAATGACTGCCCTTAGATTTTAATCAGAAATGCAAGGAATCTTGCAAAAGACATATTGCCATTGAGATGGCTGGTGTGGATCAGACACCGCATCAAAGGAAAGGAAAGAAGTATCCAGCCTCTACTTAATGGTTTCCCTTGTTCTGTGGACTTTCTCCATGCTAATAGGGCTGCGTACATACCATGTATTCGAAGCACAAGGCTTTCCCCAAAGAAACCCGAAGACTGCAGTGTACCTTTCACAGTGCTACATTCCCAGGCTACCATTCCCAGGATTCTTTGGATTACAGGAACCACTGTTTAGAAAGTGCCCAAGTTTTTATTTTGATTTTCCTATTCCCTCCATATCCCTTTTCCTTCCGTGACTTTTGTTGTTGTTGTGGGAGGGGTCTTTTTGGATTGTAAGCCTGCAGACAGGGACTGGCTGCCTTGCTTTGGTTTTACTAAGCCTCCCTGGGATCCCTTTTGGTATAAAATTAAGCTAAATATATAATCAGAATTAAATAAGTCTTGAAAATAAGTAGCCGGGTTGCCAGGTTAAACGGCTTTATGATCCCAACTAATTCTCCTCCCCTCTCTGGTCCTGCGCCCACCATGTCCTTGGATGATTCTTCTGGGATGAACAAGTTACGCAGGTGTATCTTTGACTGAGCCGGGATTAGAGATTTAACGCCGGCAAAGCCAGAAATCAGCCCGCTGAGACGCATGACCTCCCAAACTGCTCCTCCTGGCAGATCTTGCTTTCCCCAAAGGATGCGGGGAACTCTTCCAATCATTCCACATGTTCATTGGCCCAGTCATTCCCTTCCTTTCCCCACTCTTTCCAGGAAAGGTGCCTTGCTGATCAATTGCTTCTGCTCCATGGTGTCCTCTATGTTTATGGTTTGCGCCACTGTGGTGCAAGCCTTCCTGTTCACAATGCTTTCACGCTTCATCGTTGGAATAACCATAGGTGAGTCGGGCTACTTCCTGGATTTAGCGAGGGTGTGGGGTTAAGAGAAAATTCCCTGTTCTGAAATCTGAGTTGGGAAGGAACCAGTGCTTGCAATTCAAAGATGTCCTGTGCACATATCAAAAGAAGAACCTCCCCACCACTACCACCTCAATAATAATAATAATAATAATAATAATAATAATAATAATAATAATTTATTTATACCCCGCCCATCTGGCTGAGTTTCCCCAGTCACTCTGGGCGGCTCCCAATCAAGTGTTAAAAACAATACAGCGTTAAATATTAAAAACTTCCCTGAACAGGGCTGCCTTCAGATGTCTTTTAAAGATAGGATAGCTGCTTATTTCCTTCACATCTGAAGGGAGGGTGTTCCACAGGGCGGGTGCCACTACCGAGAAGGCCCTTTGTCTGGTTCCCTGTAACCTCACTTCTCGCAATGAGGGAACCGCCAGAAGGCCCTCAGCGCTGGATCTCACTGTCCGGGCTGAACGATGGGGGTGGAGACACTCCTTCAGGTATACACTGCTTTGGGGAGCCTCCAGCCCATGGGCCAAACCTGGCCCACTAGTAGGGATGTAGCTAACAATAATGATAGCAATTATAAATATTTTTTAAAAGACCGTTTAGAAAGAGCAAATGCACACACATCGGCCAGATTTGGATCCAAGACAGATACCAGCTGCTGAAATAGCGGGTGCCAAAAAGGCAATAGGGAAGGCACCTGCCTGATACGCATGTTGGTTTCTGCTTTCCTTCACTGTGCAGCGAAAGGGCTTGTCACGAGACAGGTGTTTACATTCCACAGTCTGTACTGTTGGAGTTTCTCACGGGAAAGGGAGACTGGATGTGACGTACACTGGTTTCCTGTTTTTCACTGTTCTTTGCAGTTTCACTTGGTGATTCTCTCCGAGCTGTCGAGGAGAGAGGATGCATTTTCTGCTCCGGCAGAGGCAAGATGTCTTTCTGTAATATACCAGCTTTGAACTGTAAATAAAGCAATATAGAGTATGTAGTACGTACTCCTCATCCTTCCGCTGGGCACGGGACTCTGCTTTTCAACCAACAACGCAGTGGGAGGGAGTTCCAGAGGCTACGTGCCGCCAAACTAAAGGCCTGATTCTGGCCATCACGTGGAATGGACCTCCTGGTAGGATGGCATCTGCAGGATGCCCTCTCTTGCAGAACACAATGACTGGTTGGGTAAGTGGGAGATGTTTGTATGCTTCTGTGGCTGTCACATGCCTACTGTGAATAATGCCTTGATTTATCCCCTAACCAGGCATCTTCTCCATCGTGGTCCCATTGTACCTCATAGAGATCTCCCCACTGAACATGAGGGGAGCCATTGGCATGCTGCCTCACTTCTTTCTAGCTGTAGGTGTCCTCCTGGCTCAGACACTCTCTTTTCCTGAAATGCTGGGGAACGAAGAAGGTAAATCAGAGAGGAGATCCTCTTAGCCCAAAGGTCATGGTAGAATTGTAGAGATGGAAGGTATTGCCAGGGGTCATTTAGTCCAACATGCTGCAATGCTGGAAAGAGTCCCCAACAGATGACTCAACTCCCAATGAAGAAGAGCTCGCCACCTTCTGAGGAAGACAGTTCCACGACCCCTCCAGTTCCATGTGGTGCTCACAAGCACCAGTGAACCCCCACCAGTACCACCTATAGTGCCCACAAAAAGTCTTACATGTGCCCACTTGGATCCCAGGATCAGACAGCCAGCGACCCATCAGTTCTGAACAGAGGAGAAGTACAGTGGTAGCTTGGTTCTCAAACTTAATCTATTCCGGAAGTGCGTTCCAAAACCAAAGCGTTCCAAAACCAAGGCGTGCTTTCCCATAGAAAGTAATGCAAAACGAATTGATCAGTTCCAGACTTTTAAAAACAACTCCTAAAACAGCAATTTAACATGAATTTTACTATCTAACGAGACCATTGATCCATAAAATGAAAGCAATAAACAATGTACTGCAGGCACACAATCAATCAGTAGCTGAACTGGGTTCCACACAGTCACAAAAACAAAAAAAGAGCCGCAAAAACAAAAACGCAAAATAAATAGCAAAAACAAACAGACCTCAGTGTACCACTCAAAACGGAAGTGTGGCACTCAAACCAGTGTAACACTTAAAACAGAGGAGATTCGGCTTCCAAAAAAAGTTTGCAAACTGGAACACTTACTTCTGGGTTTGCAGTGTTTGGGTTCTTAGTTGTTTTGAGTACCAAGGCGTTTGAGAACCAAGGTACCACTGTACAGAGACCTTCGCTCTGTGAGCAGGCATAGCGATGGCTAATATAGGTGCCTCCCCCTGCCTGTTGATGTGGGGCACACCCATGGTTATGTCTCTTTTCTTTGCTTTATTTTTCTTTTAAACATGGCCACCATAACACCATGCCCCCACAACAGTCATTTCCCCACATCCCTACGGCAGCCATTTTGTATTATACCCCCATGGCAGCCATTTTGTGTCATGCCACACTTTCCCTCATGACAGCCAATGGCTAGCACCAATGGCACTTCCCCAAAGGTGCCCACTGACCCAGGAAGGTGGAAAAATCAAAACTAGAGACTGAACTGTTAGAACCCAATACTAAGAATTTATCAAGAATGTATAACTTGTTGCTGAAATGGAATACACAGGATGAAACAGTCAAATCGGCTATGATTAAGTGGGCACAGGATGTGGGCCATAACATTATGTCAGCTGACTGGGAATGGTTATGGAACACCGGTATTAAATTCACGGCATGTAATGCCTTAAAGGAAAACATTATGAAAATGGTTTATAGGTGGTACATGACCCCAGTCAAGCTGGCAAAAATTTATCATTTGCCCGATAACAAATGTTGGAAATGTAAAGAGACTGAAGGTACCTTCTATCACCTTTGGTGGACATGCCCGAAGATTAAGGCTTTCTGGGAAATGATCTATAATGAAATGAAAAAGGTACTTAAAAGTACTTTCCTTAAAAAACCAGAGGCCTTTCTCTTGGGCATTGTCGGCCAATTGGTGTCAAAGAGGGATAGAACTTTTTTTATGTATGCTACAACAGCAGCAAGAATACTTATCGCAAAGTATTGGAAGACACAAGATCTACCCACTCTGGAAGAATGGCAGATGAAAGTGATGGACTATATGACACTGGCCGAGATGACAGGCAGAATCCGTGACCAAGGAAAAGAGACGGTGGAAGAAGAATGGAGAAAATTCAAAAGTTATCTTAAGGACTATTATAAACTTGATGAATGTTAGAGTGTTATGGTTTTCAGGAACAAAGGGATACAGTGATATAAGGTCAGATTACAGAGATAACTAAGGACAGAGGTTGGAAAGTAACAATTGGGAGTTGCTATAAAACTATGGACATTGGGATGCAGAAAGGGGGGGGTATGGGGGAGTCTCAGAAAAGAGGTTTATGAAAAACATTATGAAATTATACGTGTTTGTATGTCTTTTTAAGTGTTTGTTTGTTCTTAAAATTTTGTAAAACTAATAAAAAAAATTTCAAAAAAAAAAAATGATTCCCTCCATTAGCATTGGGCAATTCTGATGTGCCATCTGAGCTGATACCTTTCAAGAGCCAGGGTGGCATGGTTGTTAGAGTGCCGGGCTAGGACCTGGGAGGCCAGGGTTCAAATCCTGGCTCAGACATTGGGCCATTCCCAGTTTCTCAGCCTAACCTCCCTCACAGGGTTGTTGTGAGGATAAGATGGGGAGGAAGAGAACCACGTACGCCACCTTGAACTCCTTCGAGGAAAGGCGGGGTGTAAATGTAATAAATAAAATTAATTGCTCCTTCTTGCGCAGATTGGCCAATACTGACAAGTGTCCCTGGAATACTGGCATTATTTCAGACCATTGCCGTTCCTTCCTTCCCCGAAAGCCCCAGGTATCTACTGATTCAGAAAAATGATGAAGAAAAGGCCATGCTAGGTAACCACATACATGAACCACTTACATATTGGAGGGTGAGGGATAATAACATTCAAAGTCTTATTAGTATTTACCTGAGAAGACAATCTGAGAATACAACTGATAGCGCCTAGTGCTTTTTCTGGATGAAACATGGTTTTGTATGTTTGGTGGGGTGAGTCTGGATGGCCTCATAGGCAACACTCCAAATCTGTCATTCTTGGTTCTCAGAGAGAGAACAGCTGAAATCATTATACTGAATCATACCATTGGTCCATCTAGCTCAGTATTGCTTACACGGACTGGCAGCAGCTCTCTGGGGTTTCAGGCAGGGATCTCACCTAACCCTTCCCGGCGAGCCTTTTCAGTGGTGGCTCCCCTCTTGTGGAGGGCTCCAGTTTCTTCTTTCGAGGTGACCTCAGTTGTGTTTGTGGGATGTAATCCATTGGTGCAGTCAAATGCAACATTCCTTGTTTCCCTAGAGTGGGCACAGGCAGGGGACATCCAGTGTAACTTCCTGTTCCACTGCTCTGGAGCATCCTCCCCCTGCATGTGACCTGGGAGATGGGCGTGGCTCTGGCTGACTCCATAAAAGAGCCGAGTCATGCAGCTATTTTCTCAGTCTTAATTACTTGCTTCACTTGCTCTCTTGCTTGCTGCTCTCTTGCTGCCATGCTGCTCTCCTGCAGCCATTTTGTTCTCTTATTAATGTACCGTATTTTTCCGCCTTTAAGATGCCCCCATGTATAAGACACCCCCTATTTTGGGGGACTCTGATTTAAGAAAATGGGAAAGATCTATCCGTGTATAAGACGCCCCCAAATTTTGGACATTATTTTTAAGGGAAGAAACCTAGTCTTATACACGGAAAAATACGGTAATTTTTGCTGTCTACTGGCACTCAGCCAGCTCTGAACAACAACAAGCAACACGTTGGCTAATAATATACTGACAATATTTTTTATAACACTATAAACAGAAGACATATAATATGTGCATGGAGTCACAAACTAATAAGAATCGGATATATGTTCCATAACCAGGAATGGTAGGATTGGTAAGTCACTGTCAAGGATCACTGAAATAGAGGCAGAATGCCTTTCCACAGTCAATATCCTATCCAAAATATAGTTGGAAGTGAGTTGGAGCACGGTGGTGCTACGGGCACAACACTACAAACGTGAGGTGATGGGTGCGCCAAATGTCGCAATAGGGTGCAGCAGACAGAACAGTTCTTTCAGGATAATGAACTGTTTCAATGATGGATCTTCACCAGCAAATTAATAATCCCCAAAGGTACATCAAATGGCTGTGGATCAGCTATCACTCAAAAGTAAGCTCTCAGCCAGCAGCACACGAGTTCAGTCTCCATATGAGATGAACTCACAGTTTGTTGTGTAACCGCTAAGTAAAGCCTGCCTTTCTGGGATCAAATTGTGAACTGAAATGTGAGTAAACTTTTTGTTACTTTACTCAGAAAGACTCTTGTGTCTTTATTCTTTTAAGCGGGAATAAACTTAACTAAGAGATTCAAAAGAATCTGCAAACTAGCGTCCAGCTATATTGAGGGGAATTTGCTCTGCTACACCACTTCACTAGCCTGAGTGAAGGAAGGATAATATTTATTCAATATATCCTTTCCTACTATCTTTAACATTCCCACAGTGTTTTCTGTGAAGCTCCATTGAATGTAGCAGAACACCCATCAATCAATCAATCAATCAATCAATCGATTGATTGACAGGTAATAGAACTAGAACACCATTCTCTTGAAACGGAAGCAGCTTATGTTTGCAGTGCTCCCAAACGCTTACCTTTGGTGCATGCAGAACAGCTCCTCCTTGGTGTCTTTCTCCAGAGTGACCCTAGGAGCCAGTCCTCAGTGGCCGACTCACCTGTCTTCACTCAGATTGGCTCCAAGCATCACAACGGGTGAGGCGGAACATCTTCTCAATGGCCAAAAAGCTGGCTGGGTGTCTCTGGGATGCTGGAGACCAGGAACCCGCTGCAGAATTTGTAACTGGTCTTTGCCCCCCTTCCACTACACCTCTTGTGTTTGGTACTGCAAGAAACTCTCCCCACCAGCCTCCGTCCCCTGCTATTCAAAGGCTTTTTCCATTGCTGCTTCTTTCCAGCCTTGCAGAAGCTGAGGCACAATGAGGATGTGCAGGAGGAGATAGAAGAGCTGCAGCAGGAGAAGATGGCTGAGAAGACGGAGAAGAGCATGAACTCACTTAAGCTGCTGTGCTTCCCAAGCCTGCGGTGGCAAGTCATCTCAGTCATTATCTTGATGTGTGGCCAACAGCTCTCTGGAGTCAACGCAGTAAGGAAGGCGAAGGCAATATCCACAAGCGGTTAGAAGAAGGGAGGGGAACTGGGGCCTTTGGCCGTCCAGGTGTGGCTGGACTACAACTCCCATCAACCTCAGCAAGGACGGCCAATGGCTGTGGGTGTTGAGAGTTGGCGTTCCAAGGGCACTTCCAATGAAGCTGAGCGCTGGAAGATTCAGGACGGAGGAAAGGAAGGACTTCTTTATAGTTAAACTATGGAACTGTGGCCCCACACAGGAGGCCGCGATGGCCACCAGCTCGGGTGGCTTTAAAAGAGGATTGGGCAAATTCGTGGCACAGGCAGCGCTGCATTTAGGGTCACAAGCAGTATGGGCGGAGCTTGTTTTGCATCCAAGCTCCGTCAGCCTTTTGGGGGCCCAGTGGCCATGTTTGGAATGTTGAGGGAGTGCCGTGGGCACCAGTCACAAAATGGCTGCTGGGCGGGGAGGAGACATGAAACAAAATGGCTGCCACATCCAAAAGAGCAGAAAAGGGGGCATCACCCCCCAGATGGTGTGTGGATGCTGTTACAACAGCTGCCCCACCAACAGAGGCGGCGAGGAAGGCACCTACATCAGCAGCTCTCTCCGAGACAGAAGCTCTTTGATGCTTGTGCTTGGCTTGTGGGTTTCCTGTAGGCATCTGGGTGGCCACTGTGGGAACAGGGGTGTTTTTATGAGCACAAAGAGCAAACAATCTCAAGCAGATTGTAGATTTTTGAGAAGATATTTACCAAGAGCGTTCACAGGCACCACAAGGGGTACTGGTAGGTACACCCACCCCTTGTGGGCACGACTGCAGTGACCTTTGATTCCCATATAGCCAGAGATTCAGAGGATTGCCTGCCTATGTATGTTGGCAACTGCAAACAGTTCTTGTCTGTGCAGAAGAAATGTGAAGAGCTGGATTTAAGGCTGGAAAAGAAACAAAAACGGACCAATTTTCCCATCCCTAGTTTGGAGTTGGAGAGAAAGGATCTTAGGCTTCATTTTGTAGACAGTGCCAGTGCCTCCAAACCCTGAGTCAGCCACAGGACCATCGCCCAGTAAGCTAAAAGTCTCAGTTGTTTTGGTCTCATTTCAGGTATACTTTTATACAGAGAGAATCTACCTGTCTACAGGAACTGACCTAAATAATCTCCCATACATCCGTTTAGCATCAAGCGTTGCCATCATCATTTCAGTCTTTGTCGGGGTAAGCCTGCCTTACTTTCGCCTTTTTTTCTGCCCCTTAAAGTCTCAAAGCTCAGTCTGCTCCAAAGGATGTTCCTGCGCTGCAAACTTTAGCAGCAGTTTTGTGCCAGCACTTAGGAATACAGTGTACCTCGGGTTACATACGCTTCAGGTTACAGACTCCGCTAACCCAGAAATAGTGCTTCAGGTTAAGAACTTTGCTTCAGGATGAGAACAGAAATTGTGCTCCGGTGGCACAGCAGCAGCAGGAGGCCCCATTAGCTAAAGTGGTGCTTCAGGAACGAATTAAGTACCTCGGGTTGAGGTACCACTGTACAGGAAGGCACCTTATACCAAGTCAGATACTTTGTGCATCTAACTCTGTATTGTCCACACTGACTGGCAGCAGCTCTCCAGGCTTTCAGCCTTTCCTGGCCCTACCTGGCCTGAGCCTTGGAGGGAGGGGCTCACAGCATTGACACTCCAACAGATCTTGCCTCCTCGTGAGGTTCCCGGGGAGATCACCAAGGCTAGTATAGAGCAGTGTGTTCTTCTGTATGTCCAGCTTCCAGCACCAGCCAAAGTTCATACATACTCTCAATACACACAGCCCCACTTGGCTCCCTGTTCTCTATCAAGGTGAGGTGGTAAAAGACCCACCTGTTTGTTTCTGAGCCCTCTCTCTCACCCCCATTTTAAACTTACTAAGAACCCTGCAAGGTTGGTTAAGCTGAGACCGAGTGCTGCGTCCTTCCTTTTTCACATGCTTTCTTTTCCCTTGCTGTTACATTCTCTAGATATTTTACATTGACTCAATGGGGCGAAAGTTCCTGCTGCTCCTTGGTTTTGGCATGTGCACCATCCTCTGCGTCGTATTAACCATGAACTTTGAACTTCAGGTTGGTTGGTTTTTTCCGAACTCTTCAAGCACTGATGTCCTCGAAAGCCAAGCGTTACTCCGTCGATTGCTCCTTGGCTATGTGCACGCTAGCAACTGAAAGAGCATCACTCCTTTTGATGGCTCTCTCGCTGTGTACGCATTAACACTTTGAAATGCAGCCACATCGCTTCTCTTCTGCTGCGTTTCAAGTTGTGTTTTCACATTGCTGTGCACACCAGAGAGGAGGCACCTGGTGCATACTGCATGTTGGGTTTCCCCACCTCTGCAATCCACCTGCCCCCAGACAGATGAAGCTGTCATCTGCATATTTATTTCACAAAATTTATATACCACTTGTTCATTAAATTAAAAAAGCCCTCAGAGTTTCACAATAGGAATAAAACAATGAAATTATTTAAACAGTTTATAACCACTACAGTCGTACCTTGAATCCCGGACACCCTGGAACTTGAACGTTTTGGCTCCTGAATGCCACAAACCTGGAAGTGAGTGTTCCGGTTTGCGAACATTCTTTTGGAACCTGAACGTCTGATGGGGCTTCCACGGCTTCTGATTGACTGCAGGAGATTCCTGCAGCAAATCAGAAGCTGCAATTTGGTTTTCGACTTCCAAGGTACGACTGTATCTTTAAACCTTTATTTAAAAATTTAAAACGTGCTGGCATTCTACATGTCACCTAAACAGTTGAGCTAAGTCTGGGACCTTTTGCAGACCAAGAACTGCATGCCAGTGGTGGGTGGGGCTGGAAGAAAAAGTAGGCTGAGCAATGAACTCACATCATTTGCCTTGGTAGAGTAGGCTGGTTTCTGCACACACCTTCCCAAACCCCTTCTCTCACTTCCTTCCAGGCATGCAAGAGGCATGATCAGAGTTCAAAGAGCACATTTCCAGCTGGGCTAAAACACAGTGAAGGAAGGTGTGTGGAGCAAGGCTGATATGGCCTTGGAATAGGTCGCAGCTCTCTATAAATGAGTGTGAGTGATTGAGGCCTCGAATTAGCATCGCTCCTATTTACACAGTTGATACATGGGGACCATACCTTATCAAAATGGTCATATTTGGTATGGATAATAATAATAATTTATTATTTATACCCCACCCATCTGGCTGAGTTTCCCCAGCCACTCTGGGCGGCTCCCAATCAAGTGTTAAAAACAGTACAGCATTAAATATTAAAAACTTCCCTGAACAGGGCTGCCTTCAGATGTCTTTTAAAGATAGGATAGCTGCTTATTTCCTTCACATCTGAAGGGAGGGTGTTCCACAGGGTGGGCGCCACTACCAAGAAGGCCCTCTGTCTGGTTCCCTGTAACCTCACTTCTTGCAATGAGGGAACCGCCCGAAGGCCCTCGGTGCTGGACCTCAGTGTCCGGGCTGAATGATGGGGGTGGAGACGCTCCTTCAGGTATACAGGGCCTTCAGGTACACAGGACCGAAGATTCTAACAACCCTTCTGTGCAGCACAAGGTGCTTTAAAAAGGACCAGATCTTTCCCTTGCTATCCCATCAGAGATGCTCCTCTGGCACTGGCACATTTTCAAGAAGGGGGCCAGGCCTCCCCCAAACCCTGCAGCAATCCTCAAGAGGACGCGCCAGGACGAAGATGCTTGGCTGTACAGCATCCTTTTGAGAATCACCAGGAATGTGGCAGGGTGAAGCATGTTCGCAGGCCAAGTTGACCTGGCCACTTTGGGGCGGGGGGCATTGTGCGTGTGACATCATGCACATGCGGTGCCCCCGCCCCAATTTTGGGCGCAACTCAGTGTCGCTGTCCTCTGGAGTCTTCCCAATGGGAAGTGATCTCTCATGAGTAAACAGTGTCTGTTTGACCAATAATATCAGTGATTACGGCAGATGAAGATGATGGACTTTTCGGAGCTAGCTGACCTGACTGGAAGAATCCGCGATCAGAAAGAAGAGGAGTTTCAAGAGGACTGGAGGAAATTTAAGGACTATTTGAACAAATATTGTAATATAAAAAATTAGAAATTACTTGAAAGAAAATAGGCCTAGGATTAAACTAAGTTATAATTAAATAAATGGGATTTAGAATATTAAGAAAAGTGAATAAGACGGACTATAATTGGAAATTGTTTTAGTTTAATAATGATATTGGAAAGCTGTTACTTTTAACTACAAGGAAACTCAGAAGGGAGGGACTAGAGGAAGTCAACCAAGATGTTTAAAAGGTTGGATTTGTAAAGAATTAAGTTTGATGTTATTGTTTATCTGTTTATTGTTCCTTTTTTCTTCTTTCGTTCATTGATGTATTTTTCTTTTTTTCCTGTTTTTGTGTGTCATTCTGCTTTGTGGTTTTTGTTATAATTGTGGAAAATCTAATATTTTTTTTATAATAATAATAATATCAGTGATTACATCAAAAGCGCTTTGCCCAAACCTAGCAAGCTTGACACACTCTCACAACTCTCTCCAACAGGGAGATGCCTTGTGGATGTCTTACGTCAACGCGCTCCTCATCAATATTTTCCTCATAGGACATGCCGTCGGACCCAGTAAGTGCTCAGGTGATACGCAGAGTTCCTTGGAGGAGGCGCAGGATGTGAAGAGCAAAAGGTTTCAAGGGTCGAGGGTGGTCAGGCATCCAAAGCCTTTATTTATCCTCAGCCCCTTCCACCACAGTGTGTCAGGAGCCAGAGTCAGGTGTAGATCAGCAATATAAAAAACACAGTGCCAGCAAAAACTCTTACAAAAACAGCGCAGCCCTAATGATCCCAGCAACTCTTCCCTTTCCAGTGAGGTTAGGCTGACTCTCTCCTTGTCCTTCCACTGGCAAGTGAAGACTGTTTTATTCTGGCAGGCCTTTGGGAACTGACTGTTTTTGTTGTTTTTAAGGAAAGGGCTGTGGTGTTTTTAGTGTTTTTATTATCTGCAATTTAACAGATTTTGAGTTGGGCTTGTTTGTTTTAATCCTGTTACAGTTTAATGTAATGGAATTAAATATGGGATTACAGTTTCGTAAGATCCCTTGAGTCCCAGGTTCTGTGGAAAGAGCAGGGTACAAAAGAATAATCAAAATAATAGTGGATGGGTTTCCAAGACTGAAGAACACTGATCTACTGGGCTTCATAATGAACTGCAGAGGTGCCACGATCCTGTTTTCTGTTGATGTTTGTTAATGGTATGTTCAGAAAATCTCCGAATAAAAGTAGTTTGTAGCACTTTACATGAAAAACCCATTTAAAAAAATGGAATGCCATTTTGAGGCCAATGGTTTTATAGTATTAAAGACTGTTTGAAAGGTTTCTAATCTGCTTTTCAAGGGGGGAGACTTCACAAAATGGTGTAGAAAATAAGCATCAAAGTATGGCCCAACTTTACAAGGGATGCGGGTGGCGCTGTGCGATAAACCACAGAGCATAGGACTTGCCAATCAGAAGGTCGGCAGTTCAAATCCCCGCAACGGGGTGAGCTCCCGTTGCTCGGTCCCTGCTCCTGCCAACCTAGCAGTTCGAAAGCACCTCAAAGTGCAAGTAGATAAATAGATACCGCTCCGGCGGGAAGGTAAATGGTGTTTCCGTGCGCTGCTCTGGTTCGCCAGAAGCGGCTTAGTCATGTTGGCCACATGACCCGGAAAAACTGTCTGTGGATAAACATCGGCTCCCTCGGCCAATAAAGCGAGATGAGCGCCGCAACCCCAGAGTCGGTCACGACTGGACCTAATGGTCAGGGGTCCCTTTACCTTTATGGCCCAACTTTAAAACTTTTTAAAAATCTTCTTTGTGGTTAAAAAATATATAACAACAAATGGCCCCAACAAAATACCTCAATGCATGGGATGTGTGTGTGTGTTATTTTGTTGTTTTTGTTTTAACTATTTACTTGCTTTTTACCTTGTATTTTATCCTGTGAACCGCCCTGAGATCTTGTCATGAAGGGCAGTATATAAAGCCAATAAATAACGACAACAACGAGAAAATAAAATATATAAACAGTTAAGCAGTTACTAAACAGAGGCAAGATTAAACCACTAAAAAAAAATACGGTAGTTCTCGTTTTAAAAAATAAAAATAAAAAAATCTCCTCCCAACGAGCAGTGAACCCTTTTCTCTACGCAGGTGCTCTTCCCAACCTGATAATAGCAGAGATTTTCCTTCAGTCCTCACGGTCCTCAGCCTATGTGGTCGGGGGATTTGTGCATTGGTTCCTAAACTTCTTCAGCATTGTGACCTTCCTCAACATACAGGTGAGTGATTCTGGTGGTCCGTGGGTGTTCTGAACCTTCTACAGCGAAGGGCTGTAGCTCAGCAGTAGAGCATCTGCTTGGCATGCAGAAGGATGTTGCCTTGTCCCTCACTAGTCCATCTAGCTAAGCACTGTCTACACTGACAACCAGAGGCTCTCTAGGGTTTCAGACAAGGAGTCTTTCTCAGTCCTACTTGGAGTCGTCGGGGGTTGAACAGAGCACCTTCTACATGCAAGGCAGATGCTCTGACACACTGAGCTATGGTATTTCCTGTAAAAAAACAAAACAAAACGTAGGATTCTAGTCCTCCTAATTCTAGGTAAAGGGTTGAATAAGAACATAAGAAGCTGCCTCATATCAAGCCAGACCTTTGGTCTAGCTAGCTCAGTAGTGTCTACACGAACTGGCAGTGGCTCTCCAAGGTTTCAGAGAAGGGGCCGCTCCCAGTTTCACCTGGACTTGCCAGGGATTGAATGTGAGGCCTCCTACCCCCGAGCAACAGCCATGGGTGTAGCCTGGGGGGGTAGCACTCCCCCCCCCATCAAGTAATTAAATAAAAATACTTAAGTAAAAGTATAAATTGTAGAAAGATATTGGCAGATTTTTTCCGAGCACTTGGGGTCAAAAGAAGGGAATTTAAAACAACTGCTGTTGAGACATTTCATTCTGAATCTGCTAGACAGAGCCAGACAGAGGATGATGACAGGTAGGTGTTCTCCCTGCCCCTAAATCCTGGCTATGCCTATGGCCATAGACCTTTCCCACCTTAGGTAGGATGGAGAATGCACATTCCATGCCTACCCTCACCTGGTCCCAATACTTCCCTTCTGGGGTGTTACTAGAGAGAGAGAGATGGAAACCCAGCCTTATGAGGAACAGTTGAAGGAGTTGGATATGTTTAGTGTCATCTGGTAGCTATCTTCAAATATCTGAAGGGCTGCCACATAGAATACAGAGCAAGCTCCCCACCCCCCACTGCTCCAGAGGGCAGGGCCCAAACCAATGAATTCAAATGGCAAGAAAGAATTTCCCAGGTAAACATCAGGCAGGACTGTCAACAGTGGAACCAACTATCTCAGAGGATTCTCTGGCTGTGACTTCTGCATTGTAGCAGGGGGTGAGACCAGAACACCCTTGCCAGGGGGTCTCTTCCAACTTTACAATTCTATGATTCTACGAGATAACCCAGCCTTGAATTCCTTGAAGGAAAAAAGCACTGGGAAATATAATGCGCTAAATTAATAAGCTTATGCCTTTCTGTGGGTGGATCTACACACAGGGGAAAACCCCCCACTATAGATAAGTCATAAAAATTAAATCTTTATAACAAAAGAAAAAAAACCTCTATGTAAAATCGCATAGAAAAGTTTCCTGCTCTACAGCGCCATCTGGTGTTGCATGTTTATAACACATTTAAAACTAAGTTTTTTGACTCATGTTGCTGAGCCCTGTTTCTCTGTGTGTGTGTGTGTTGCTGCTCCTGTTCCTTTCCAGAAATACATCGGATTCTTCAGCTTCCTCATCTGCTGTCCGATATGTGCTGCCACCTTCTTTTTCATCTTAAAGATGATCCCAGAAACCACGCACCAGACTTTTCTGGAAATCAGGAAGCAACTGCCCATCTACGTGGCCCAAAGGCAAATCACCAAGATGGAGCGAATGCCGAGGAGAAGCACCAGGCGGGCGTTGGGGGAGGGGCAAAACCCCGTGTAGAATTTGATTATAAACATTTATAATCGAGCCATGATCCCAAGGGAATCTCTACGGTTGTCCTTCAGCTGTCTCAGCACCGTTGACACGCCAGTATTGAGGTTTTGCCTCGGTTAATTCATTGCCCACCCTCCACCCTAAAGTGTGGGCTCCAAACTTAAGTGGGATCCGAAAAATACACATCTAAAGGGTCAAAAGCCCAGGTAGAGAGGTGCGTCTTCCACATTTGATAGAAACTGCATAATGCCAGGCACATCGCTGTGGGGAGGGAATTCCACATCTTAGCGGATGACACAAAAAAGTGGGGTAGCGTGGGGTGGGTGGGGGCCATGGCTCCGGGCACAGATTTCTGGGGGGACATGAGGTGGGGCAACCAGGTGCGTCCACAACAGGCTCCTTCATCAAGGCCTGAGCCATTGGGGGGCAAGGCAAGGTGCATCTGGGCTCAGCCTTCAGGGCTGGGGTGGTAGTGGCGCCTCTTTCTTCTTGTGACCAGCAAAGGAACGCCCTGGGCTGCTGAGAGGGAGGGAGTGTGGGCCCTGCTGCTGCCACCCACTGAAAAGAGGTGAGAGGCTCCACCTGGATGGGGAGGGCAAGAGGCAGGCGGGGAAAGAGCAGTCACATTCTCCGGTCAGACCATTGCGGCTCGGTCGCTCCAGTGGCGTCGGCGGTGAGGGCTGGGATGGTGCAGCAGGCTCTGTTCAGCCTCCATTAGGGCGGTTCATTAATTTTTTTTTTAAAAAAAATGCCTGCTCCAAAGGTCTTATCTTACGACACTAGGGATTACCGTATTTTTCGCTCCACAAGACACACTCTTTCCCTCCTAAAAAGTAAGAAATGTGTGTGCAAGCGGGAGGCAGGGGGGAAAGCCCCCAAGAGCCGCACACACCCTCCACATGGCTCTTGCGGGCTTTTCCCCAGGAGGGAGAAGGGACTGACTGGCTGCGTCAGTCCCTTCTCCCTCCTCGTAGAAAAGCCCACAGGAGCCGCGCACTCTTTAAAGGGTGCGCCGGCTTCTGCTGGCTTTTTTAGGAGGTGGGGTTTTTTAGGAGCTGCTGACTTTTTTAGGACCGTGTGGGAGGTCCTGAGGAGGGAGAAGGGCAGCCCGTCAGTGGGATGCGATACAGGCTCTGCTCAGTGCTCCCTTTTAAAATATATTTTTTCTTGTATTCCCCTTCTAAAAACTAGGTGCATCTAATGGTCAGGTGCGTCTTATGGAGCGAAAAATACGGTATATAGCTATATCCGAAATTTCATGCATATCAGTTAATATCTTGACCCTCCTCCATGAAAACAGCTGTTTACTTGGCCGTTTTCCTATGTCGTGAAGGCTGAAATTTCAATTCAGGGGAGCAGGGTCAAGATATTAACTGACATGCATGAAATTTCAGATATAGCTATATAATCCCTAGTGTAGTAAGGTAAGACCTTTGAAGCAGGCATTTTTTAAAAAAAGTTTTTTACGAACCACCCTAGCCTCCGTGCCTCACCCTGGCATGCCCCCCTCATGCTCCCATGCACCTCGGCCTGCCTACACACACCTGGGCACCATCAACCCATGGTACGCCACTGGACACAAAGAAGGCTGTCGCCCTACCTTACATGAGCAGCCAAGTCTTTAGCATATGCGCCGCCAGGGTGCAAAGATCTGCCCAGGGCCCCCAAATTTAGTTTAGCCCCCAAATTAACTTTGATTATGCTTATGTCAGACACCACACCTTATCTCTTATTTACGAAAGAAAGGAGGAAAAAGAAACAAACTTTTTTATGTGCTCATTTATTTACCATACGCTTATACTTCAGTATACAATACCACCACACTTAAACTTATAAGTATTGTTTAGGCACCTACTTAGGAGAAACATCAGTCGTGTCAAAGGTGCTGCTGACCCCACTGCCGCATAGCAGCTCAATACAATACGTAACATAATATTTTGATGTAAGAGTTAACTTCATGTGCATGGCAGAAATCGAGAGAACAGAAATCGGGCTCCGGCAGCGTGGCAGCAGCGGGAGGCCCCATTAGCTAAAGTGGTGCTTCAGGTTAAGAACAGTTTCAGGTTAAGTACGGACCTCTGGAACGAATTAAGTACTTAACCTGAGGTACCACTGTATGTATTTTGTTTTTCTTACTTGATCAAAATTATTTATTATTTCATAACAGGTAGATGGTTAAGAATTTAGGCAGCTTCAGCAGCGGGCACCTGGCGCCCCCCAGAAATTGGCGCCCGGGAGCCCTGCACCCCTTGCACCCCCAGGTAAAGACGGCCCTGTACGTGAGCATCTGAGGGCAGAGAAACCACTAAGAGGATGGAGGTGGTCTTTTAGATATTTGGGGTCGAAGTCATTTAGGGCTTTAAACATTCACTTGAGTGCCTTGAAGTGGCTCCAGATTACCGTATTTTTCACTCTATAAGACGCACCAGACCAAAAGACGCACCTAGTTTTTGGAGGAGGAAAACAAGAAGAAAAATATTCTGAATCTCAGAAGCCAGTGAAAGCAGCAATCCCTCTTGCTGTTCTGGCTTCTGGGATAGCTGCACAGCCTGCATTCTCTCCATAAGACGCACACACGTTTTCCCTTACTTTTTAGGAGGGAAAAAGTGAGTCTTACAGAGCAAAAAATACGGTAGATCCCGTGAGTCTGCTCAGGAAGCTGAGGTCTGCAGATTCCTCTTCCACCCACAGATTGTCCCCATGAGAACTATGAGCTCTACCCGTGAGCTGTGGCCTCTGAGCAGCAACTTCTTTGTAGGCTCACAGTTAAGCGTGGGGCCTGTTTGTTATTACCCTGAGCGCCCGTCTTTCAAAGTGTCTCGGCAAACATTATCCAAAAAAAGGTCACGTTAAAGCGTTGCTCGTTGAAGTGGTTTGCAAAGTGCGAACCACAATGCAGGAGTCAAATAAGAACAGAATAACTTGTCCCAAGGCTAGGGATGAAGGGGAGAAATTTGATTCCGTTCACATTTAAAGACAAAACGCCCAACTTTCAGAAACAATTCACAAACGGAGCACAGCCATCCTTTGATATTGGCGATTTCCGCAATGCAGTTGTGCATTGTGCAAAAATGCATATAAAGTGTGCATTAAAATGTACCTATTATAGAAGGTAGCATATGAAAAGGCATTTATACGTTGGGGAAATTCACCCAGCCATCTCATTTCACAGTCTCTCTCCGGTAATAGACAGCCTCCGAACCCCGACAAACACAGCATGGTGACAAACTTTCCCCCCTCTCCATCGCCAACAGCCTTTAGTGCTATTGGGTTATTTTGTCTTTCTATATGGCTCATACACACTGATAAGACTTATTCTCCATGGATTGTTTTCAAAAGCCGTCTAAGCTAGCAAACCTTAATCAAGCGTATAATCCAATTCACAACCCACATAATTAAGCCTGGATTTCAGAATGAAAAGTCCAGTTATCCATTGCTTTTGGCAAACACTGTCTATAGTAGGAGAGAAACGGGGGTGGGGTGGGGAGTGGATCAGTCCAATGGTCCATTTAAGTCCCGCATCCTGTTCTCACTGGGGGGAGGCAGATGCTTGTGGGAAATTCAAGCACAAGAAAACTCTGCCCTCCTACAGCTTCCAGCAACTGGTGCTCAGAAACATTACATTACAGAGCACAGACATTGTGGCTGTTAGCCATCGATAGCCTTCTGCACCATGAATTTGAAGATTAAAGTCATCCAAGTTGGTGGCCATCACTGCAGGAGTTTAACTATGTGCTGCATGAAGAAGTCCTTTTTTTTATCTGTCCCTGAATAATAATAATAATAATAATAATAATAATTGTTTATACCCTGCCCATCTTCCAACATTCATCATCACTGGATGTCCACAAATCTAATGATAAAAATCTGATTTTAATTTGTTGTAGCCTGCCCTGGGACCTACTGGTGAAGGGTGAGCAATATTATCATTTATCATCATTTATTGCTGATCAGTCCTCTTTTTGTCTTGTTATGAGTTAATGTTTTTTAATGGAAGTGAGAGCTGGACCATAAAGAAGGCTGATCGCCGAAGAATTGATGCTTTTGAATTATGGTGCTGGAGGAGACTCTTGAGAGTCCCATGGACTGCAAGAAGATCAAACCTATCCATTCTTCAGGAAATCAGTGCTCACTGGAAGGACAGATCGTGAAGCTGAGGCTCCAACACTTTGGCCACCTCATGAGAAGAGAAGACTCCCTGGAAAAGACCCTGATGTTGGGAAAGATGGAGGGCACAAGGAGAAGGGGACGACAGAGGACGAGATGGTTGAACAGTGTTCTCAAAGCTACAAACATGAGTCTGACCAAACTGCGGGAGGCAGTGGAAGACAGGAGTGCCTGGCGTGCTCTGGTCCATGGGGTCACGAAGAGTCGGACACGACTAAATGACTAAACAACAACAGTCCTCTTTAGTGCTTTTTAGGGTGCAGGCTTGCTTTACAAAATTCTCTCTCTTCCTCAAATAGCCTATACCAGTTAAAGGAAAAGGTGACTTTTGAAAGCCACCTCTTGAGCTCTGTGGCTTCAAGAGGGAGCCAGAGGACCAGAAAACAGGGTGGCTGATCGAAGGTCATATGTGCAAGAGCAGCAAATCATCTCTGTGGAATTAACGCTTTGAGCTACGGTTGTCAACCTCTCTCAGTACCAAGGAAATATAAAGGGCAAATAGAAAGAGAACCTACCCAAGTGATGCCGACACTAAACCCCACACATACACTAAGGAAAATAATACATGTTTTGCCACCAGCACCCTCTCTTTCTTCCCAACCTTAATACTGCATATAACACTAATGTCTCACAACAAATGTAACTGATTCTAGAAAACACAGCCTGAACAAAGAGACAATGCACGTACTTTTGTAACGTAAGGAAATCTTTAATAAAAATTATATTTTTAAAAATAAGTGGTTGATAGATGCTCCCTGGTTTAAGTCATTTTTAAATTTTTTTATTTACTTTTTTGATTTAAACCTGTGGGCAGGGGCTGTCTCATTTTAATTGATGCCATGTATGCCACCCTGGGAGTTTTTTGGGTGAAGAGCTGGGTAAAATGCTCTCAATACAGTGGTGCCTCGCAAGACGAAATTAATCCATTCCGCGAGTCTCTTCGTCTTGTGGTTTTTTCGTCTTGCGAAGCACGGCTATTAGCGGCTTAGCGGCTATTAGTGGCTTAGCGGCTATTAACGGCTTAGCAGCTTAGCGGCTTAGCGGCTATTAACGGCTTAGCGGCTTTAAGAAAAAGGAAAC